ATCCATTAGCCTATTTTCTTTTGACATTTTCATAAACCACATTCAGGAGGTTAAATTTTCACATGTCTAAAATAGTTTAATATCCTATTTCCATCTCAATACATACACGTCTTTTATAACACAAATTATATTATACAATACAAATACCTGTATCATATCTTTAAATTACATTTTAATTTTAAAATATAACACCTAAATAGGTAGCGTGTTCTTTTCAAACAAAATATATCTACACCCCAAATCACATTTTCTGTGATTACAAATAATCAAATAAGGTCTTAAAAACATTATAAAAAGAACATACTATTTATATAAATATTTTACTTGTGCCAAAAGTCCTTAACCTTTCTAAGCCTAATTTCTTAAGAAATCATGATGCACATTTCTTGTTTCTAGGATTCATATTTCTCAATTCTATACATGCTTCATGGTCAAACGTCAACTTTTAAAATCAATCACAATCTTATATTTATCAGTATGCACTCATTTAGATAAATATTAATTTATACACATACATGTGCACACAAATATTTAGTATCTCCAACTAAATTGAAATTATCGTACAAATTAACATGCACGCAAAAGTGTCATTTAGGTAAGTAGTAATTTATGCACATGCCCGTGCACACAACTATTTAGTATCTCCAAGTAAATTGAAATCATCTTACAAATTAATATGCATGGAAAAGTGACGACAAAAGGGAGAAAATGATAATTAATCGGTTTTATTAAACCTAAAAAATATAATGAAATTTCATGTCCCTTTTATAATGTAAAAGTTTAACCCAAGAGGTTAATCTAATATAATGATATTTTAATTTTATATTAAATCTGAAATTGAATATAAACCCAAAAATTTTAAAAAAATTATTCATTTGAAATTTAAAACTTATTAATATATATGTTAAAACAATATCATGTCATACCACCCACAACTAATCTATTTAAAAGATAAGTTACACTCATTAATTACCACCCACAAGTAATCCATTTAAAAGATAAATTACACTCCGTAGTTAAATTTTTCAACTTTCTACTAAAATTTAAAAATTAAAAGTCAAAACTAAAAATCTAAGAAGGTCTTAATTTTGAAAGACTAAAACTTCATTTATATGTTACACATGGGATGTAAATAAAATTATGTAGATTAGTTATGAAATTAAACTCTTTTAAAATATTAATTCGGCACATTTTTCATAAATTATAGATACTCCTTCCATCTAATGTTATTTATCATCCCCTACGTCCAAACAAGGTTGAGGAAAAATTCCCATTTGTTTCACCATAGGTTTAAATTTCAGTCAATCCCATATTCTTTCACTGGATATCCAAAGGTCAAGAAAAGGATAGAAACAACGCCACAACCTGTTCTAGGACCAAGCAGAAATAAAATATTTGCAAAGTTGGAAACATGAGACAAAAGCAAAAAAGGCACCACACAAAGGAGAGAGCCCAGCAAAAATCCCCGTACCACCTCTCATCTAAACCAAAAATAAATATTTCATTGAGCTTTTGACCTGCCATGTGAGCACAACCGTTGTGGCAAAGGTTAGCAAGACAAACCTAACAGTCATTCTTTTTCTTACAAATCGTCTCTCTTTGCTTCATATTTTCCAAAATACTTTTATCTCGTTTTTCAAATGAACATAAAACAAATCGTAAATATAGAGCTATTTAACAATTTAGAACCTTGTGTTCATGTAGACATATAATTTTTATCCTTTTGTGTGCATCATCAAATGTCCTCATATCATTTCAGCCAAGAGCATAAACATGAATTGTTGCCCCTATTTGTGGCTAGAAAGCAAAATAGATACCATAAAGAGAGCGTGAGCTACAATGACTTGTCAGCAGAACGCCATTTCTTAACCTTTACACCGTTGTTGAAGATAATGACCACAATATTGTAAGGATAGATATTACAATATAATACATGTACTACATCTCATCTCACGTGTTTACACAAAATAACAGGTATCCAAACATGGTAAACACTTTAAAGATTATGCATGTCTCTCTAAATACATAATCACCAACACGATTTTAGATTGTTGAAAAAAATTGGTAATTTATGTTTAGATACTTACCAATTAACATAATTAAGTTATATCACAATAAAATAATTCAACAATAACATGTGTAGACGAAAAGAAGAGTTAGAAATGCAAACCTTAGGAGTCATGTCGAAGACGCTGTCATAAAGTCGTATTGCCTCCCTTTTGTATGAGTACTTTCAACACTACATGGCTCTAAGATAAAACACATATAACTCACAGTTCACTACTAAAAAACATGGCTTCAGGCACGGATTTTTCGTTCCTGAAGTCTCGATATCCGTTGCTATTGTTCTTTACAAACAGAATATTTGCAACTGCAAATTCGTTGCTAATTTGAGGGTCCTTGATTGTTACCAACAGATATTCCTACCAGAGGTAAAGAGCAAATATTTTACCAACGAATTTTTTATTGGTAAAGTGTGAATTATTTACTAACGAAATTTTCGTTGGTAAAATCTTAAAAAATACCAATCGGCTTTCCGTTAGTAAATGTCTACCATTACAATTGGTAAAAATCGATGTTATAAATAGTCGAATAGGTGTGAGGCATGGTAAAAAAAAATTATTTATTTTTTTATTGTTGTTAATATAATTTATTTAATAATTCTAATTTTTTTTAACTTTTAATCAACCGAATTGAAAGGCCAAAATATTGTTTAACCACTTATTGGACCACAAATTAATTTATAGAGGGCAACTACAAAGACTTAGTTGTGAACTTTTGATGTGGGATAAGTAAATTATTTTTACCAATGGATAATTCGTTTCTAATTACCAACGGAATATCCATAGGTGAAAAATCTAAATGTTAAATGATTACATGAGTCACGGAGTATCCGTTGGTAAAGAGATATCATTGTTGCCAATGGAAAATCATTTGCTGATAATTGAAAGTGAATTACTTTTATCGACGGATGCAATCCGTTGGTAATATTCGGTACGTAACCTACAAATATTTCGTAGGTGAAAAATCCAAATGTTAAATGGTTATATGAAGCACAGAATATCCGTTGGTAAAGAGATATTATCGTTACCAACGGAAAATCCGTTGTTGATTATCATAGCTAAAAGTGAATAACTTTTACGAACGAATAATCCATTTTTAATTACCAACGGATGTAATCTGTTGTTAATTTTTCGTTGGTGAAAAACTATTTTTTAGTAGTAGTTGGTTCTCTTTCTATGGGTACGACCATGTGGAAATAAGCGAACAAACCCTTATCAAATTGTCAAAACTATAGAAAATAATATATAAGTATAGAGAGTATTATTATGAAATTATCTTTTCCATATTATGTTTAACTACATGAAAATCACTCACTTTTATAGGGAGAAATTCAACCCCCACATTCATGAAAATAAATCATATTTAAGTATAAGTTACAATCTAAATTATGAGTTTCAAATTCGTATTAAAATTTAAATTGAAAACTAAAAATTCAAATTACTTTTAATTTTGAAATTTATAACTTATTAAAACTTAAGTTGCAACAAAAAGTTGCAATTTCTGCAAGTGCATAAATAATACCATGAGATAGCTACTATTATACATGTGCAATCGCTTTTGTTGCAACTTCTGCAAGTGCATAAATAATACCATGAGATAGCTACTATTATACAAGTGCTTGCATGAGGTTACCGATCGAGCAAGAAATATTTTGTTTCTTTTTCCAAGTTGGACTCTTCTGAGAAAGAAACTGACACGTGATTTCAGCCTACTTGGAGTTCAGTTCCATTATTCTTCCATGTTGAAACTTGCACAAGAGAGCTAGGGAGAGAAAACATACGAAATACATAATACTTTGAAGATACGAGGCTCCGGATTGAAGATTTCAAGCAAGAAGATAAGGATTTCCCGGAAACTTTATTGGGAGACGAAAATAATCTTCAACGTTCTTTGTAATTCGATATTCCGGGTTATGAATACTTAATTTAGTATGGGTTTTGTAGTACTAACATGATAGGTTAAACATTGTGGGTCCGGAATGATGATGTAAATTATTAGCGACGTGTTTAATTCAAACCAACTTCTTCTTTTAATTCTCAATTTGTGTTCGATTGATTTATATGAATGCTTTAATTAAATTTTGAATGAATGGTCAACCTTTAAACTTATTGTGACTTATTTTATTTTCGGGAGATTCAAAGTAGTCGTTGCTTATAATTGATAATCAACATAGAGTCTATAAACATTAAGGGATAATAATCTAGCAAATGAATGCCTTTCTCATATTCGAATTTGAGATAGGAAAATTTCGGTTTGTGTATGAAAATAGGTTTTAATTTTACTTGGAAGAAATTGTTAGATAATATAGGATCAGAACAGGATGAATGGGATTGGTCCGAACTCTTGCTCGGATGTTGACTTAATCTAAACATAACTTGAATGAAAAAGATAGTTGAGAATTATAATGGATATCAACGTGAAGTGGGTTCCTAACATCTTATTCTAAATCGATTTCCGTTCTCTCAATTTTTGTTTGCATTTAATTAGAGAGTATAATTTGTTAAAATCATAATTATTCAAATTCAACTATCAATTGTGTGTTTATTCGCATTAAGCTCGAAGTGATCAAATTTAAGTTAGAATCTAAATCCTTGTGTGGACAATACTCTTTACTTGCTTTAACTATTACTTGTCATCGAACTCATTTGCTTGCAAAATTTCAACCGAACAATATGCAAATAGATTTCAAGCCCTAATCTTCCAGTTAAAAACTAAAAGGAAAGTTATAAATTTTCCATGTGTTCACGGGCAATTGCATTTGCGGTCATTGACTTTTCAGTGAAATCCCAAAAAGTCGCTAATAAATAATTTGTCTCAAGTGTTCTATTCGTACTAAATCTTCATCGTCAAAATTAGGATCAAGCAACAGTACATAAGAATGCGCATATGAGAGAGAGAGAGAGAGAGAGAGAGAGAGAGAGAGAGAGAGGGGAACAGCAAGAATGTGTATAAATATGTATTTCATTTGAATTCCATTCTAGTTTTTAATCATTATGAAATGAGTGGAGATCTTCCTTCCACCTTGTGTCTTACCAAGAACTTCGTTGCCACAGGTGGCGAAAAAAAAGAAAAAGAAAAATGCATACCCGACAAAGGAAAATAAACACACACACACACACTCACACAAAAAAAGATCAGCTTTAATGATCTTTTTGATAAGCTGAGCTTATAAATGAGATCTCTGGCAGTATGGATGAGAAGTTTTGATATAAATCTACAAGGGCATTAGGCCATGCTTCAATGCAGCCTTCCACACAACGTCAATCTGATCAACATCGATAGCCCCAACCTCGTTGTGTTCCCAACCTTCAAGAAGATGAACTACGCCCCCAGCATGGCAAGCATGAACCACACCTCTTTCCATTGTATACTAGTAGATTAATATACATATCAGTTGCTATGAACAAGACAAATAGTGAGGAAGTAAATGGCCATTTGATTTCTAAAGAATGCATTTTAAACAAAAAAAATTAAACAAAAAAAACTTTATTGGTGGCCTATTTTCATTTTGCCAACCTGAGGCTTTAAAACTTGAAACAAAGAGTGGATTGAAGAAAAGCCACAGAATTTTGGTTCTCTAGCATACAAAAACTGGAAGTTCCCTCTACACATAAAGGTCAAATTGACTCTTTTCAATTTATTTTTCCTGCAGAAATTCTAAAACTAGGAAAGAGTTAATTTCAAAGTTCCCATCAATTCATTTTACTTACTTAGGTCTTTTCCTGAATTCGAATATCTTAGTTCATGTAAGAGTTTTCATGTAATGATCAGTAATTTCACAAATATTGAAGAGATAGAGGAAAGGCCATGAACTTTTACCTCACATGATCCTAAGCCCTCCACATCTTCTGGAAGTCTCATTGCTGCTAGCTTCCCATAAGTACAGTCTCGTCTAAATGGAATGATAGGAGGAACCACAAACTGGTTAAAGTGTGTTCCTGAAGGAGCCCAACTCTGTTCTCGAGGTGTCATCCACTTGCCGATAATCCACGTCTATGAATTATAAAACAAACATGAATATGGATGTCTGCATTTTCGAGATTTCAATGCTCTAATAATTCTGAAAATGAATAAATGTAATGCTAACTCTCCTCTGTCACTTCGTTTAAAGATACCAATCAACACGAAGATGAGAGTAGCTCTCTGTTCGTCTTTTATTGTTAACAAGATTGTGGGGGATATAGACAGAAATATTTACCTTACAGTGCTTGGCTGCTTGATACTTTGTAACTTGAACTAAAAAATTTTGGCAGTCGACTGGTGCTTCTTTCTGGATATTTATGAATCTCTCAGTGGATTGGGTCAACATCTGCATTCACATCCCCCTTGTTGTCAAAATTAGGTTACGCAAACAACTAAATTGAAAAAATGTACTGAAAGCACTTTCCACAAAGAAAACTGGAAAACTGACTAATTTTTTATTGGTTCTTACCAAAACCTTGACCCTTCGCCGCGCAAGATAGAGAGCAATGGCCCTTCCTAGCTTAGAAGTAGCTCCTGTTAAGAAAACTTCATCAACATCTTCAGGTATCTCGTGTAGGATCACCGCAGCAGTCAAGGTGTTTCCATGAACAACTCTGACTTTTAGATTGGGATGCTTGTTAACAAAAAGTGTTCCACCTCCATTAAGACCTTCATTCTGGAATAAAGTTTTCAAGAGTCTAAATTATTCTAAACAAACCTACTATAAAATCAAATAAAATCTGAAAAATATCTGATTCAATTTCAAAAGGTCCTAAAGAACAGTATTAGGTCTCCATCAATGGTTTTGCTATCTTAAGTTAGAAAACTAGATTTGACTGCACAATCTAGTTTAGGCACGTAGTAATGCAATAAATTGATGTAAAACGAAAAAAATGATAAACTATATACAACTAAAGAAACAAGGCTTACCTTATTTAGTGCAGCAAGGCTAATGACCTTTACACCTATTTTATCTGCTGTAAGGATAGCATCTTCAATGTGGTTATTAATGCCTTCTGCTGCGAAAGGTAAGAAATACTGCAAAATGTGACATGATACAAGCTTTAGTCACCAGTTAAAAGACCCCAAAAAAAATATAAAAATAAAATAAAAAAATAAAAAAATTAATTAATAATAGTAATAATAATAATAAAATCATGTTGTTGATTTTAACTTAGAATTCATGTTCTTATTAATATAATAAATTGTAGGTGTTCCTGTTTTCTGTTAACCGGTGTAAATTCGAAGTGCGTGTTTGGTATGTACATACATGCTGCAAAAGCAAAACAGAATACGGAAACAAAGCAGCTACCTGGAAACCAAATCTAGGCACAACCCATGTTTCATGCAGTCTTCCTCTGAGATTATAAAAACTGAACAAGAATGTCCTGGATTTTGCCCACATGATAAGCATCACTAGAAACGTATAGGGCCACATTGGAAACAAGAAGGGCTTTATACCAAAAGGTATTGAGCTGAATGAACGGAAAACAAATGGAGCATGCATCGCTGACATAACATCGACGACATGTGCAAGAAACACAAAATCAGGTACTCGGTCATCTGCATCATTATGTCACAATGATTAAACCATTAAAAGATAATTATACCCAAAGAATCATTATTGGAAACTGTAAATTGTAATATTTAAATATCATCTGCAAACTCCAATTGTGATTTGGTAATCCTTGGGAGTCAGAAAGTGGCTGTGGACTGTGAATAATTTGTTTACACTTTGAAAGAAGGGACTCACTTGTGTTTGTACTATTTTGTTTGTGAATATCCCACGAATTGGCATTTATTGTCTTCCATAAAATATCATATAAAGGCATGAAGAGGCAAAAATTAGTCCTCATGTCCACGTGATGAAGATTGTGGTATCTGCAGAGACGAACAGGTGAAGACTAATGAGTGATATATTATGAGTAAAAACATGCTAGAATGAGACCAAAATTGAGATGAATAAGTAAATGAAAACATGCCAATTTCAAATATTGTGATTCTTAATCCTTTTTTTTTTTTTTTTTTTATTTGGGGAAAAAAAGGAA